TTGACCGTCTGATCAATGCTTCTCTGTCTCTGGATCTGTTTTTGTTCATCAGTTTATGTTGGTCATTATATTACATACATATATGTAATATATCATGTGATATTTATCTTTCTCTGACTGGCTTATTTCACTTAGCATAATGCTCTCAAGTCCCATTCATGCTGTTGCAAATGGTAAGAATTCCTTTTTTACTGCAGCATAGAATTCCATTGTGTAGATGTACCGCAATTTTTAATCCACTCAATTGCTGATGGGCACTTAGGCTGTTTTCAAATCTTAACTATGGTGAATTGTGCTGCTGTGGACATAAGGGTGCATTTATCCTTTCTGATGGGTGTTTCTAGCTTCTTGAGATATATACCTAGAAATGGGATCACTAGGTCAAATGGGAGTTCCATTTTTAGTTTTTTGAGGAAACTCCATAATGTCTCTTAGCCTTCCTTCTGTTTTCTTTTGAAAAGTATCTATTTAGGTCCATTGCCCATTTTTTGATTGGGTTGTTTATCTTTCTTTTGTTAAGTTGTATGAGTAAATGCTGGAGATTAAACCCTTGTCAGAGATAACATTGGCAAATATGTTCCCCCATGCAGTGGCCTTTCTTGTTGTTTTGTTGGTGATTTCCTTTGCTGTGCAAAAGCTTTTTATTTTTATGTAGTCCCATTTGTTTATTTTTTCTTTAGTTTCCATTGCCCTAGGAGCAGTATCAGAGAAGAAATTGCTTTGGTATATGTCTGAGACTTCGCTGCCAGTGGATTCTCTAGTATTTTTATGGTTTCCTCTCTTATGTTTAAGTCCTTTATCCATTTTGAGTTTGTTTTTGTGTATGGTGTAAGTTGGTGATCTAGTGTAATTTTGTTGCATGTATCTGTCCAATTTTCCCAACACCATTTATTGAAGAGACTGCATTGTATGTCTCCTTTGTTGAATGTTAATTGGGTATAGTGTTTTAGGTCAATTTCTGGGTACTCTATTCTATTCCATTGATCTATATGTCTGTTCTTGTGCCAATACCAGGATGTTTTAAGAACAGTGGCTTTGTAATACAGCTTGAAATCTCGTATTGAGATCCCACCTACTTTGTTTCTCAGGATTGCTGCAGCTATTTGGGGTCATTTTTTATTCCAGATGAATATTTGGAAAGTTTGTTCTAGGTCTCTGAAATATGCTGTTGGTATTTTAATGAGGATTGCATTGAATCTATAGATTACTTTGGATAGTATGAATATTTTGATGATGTTGATTCTACCAATCCATGAACGTGGTATGTTATTCCATCTGTTTATGTCTCCCTCTATCTCTTTTTTCAGTGTCCTGTAGTTTTTTGCAGATAGGTCTCTTAACTCCTTAGTTAAGTTAATTCTTAGATATCTTAATTTTTTTGATGTGATGGTAAATGGGATTGCTTTTTTAGTCTCTCTTTCTGTAAGTTCACTATTGATATAAGGAAATACCATAAGAGAAACCAAAATGGAAGCATAGATAAACACCTAAACTGGTGCCTCGCAAAACAGTTTCAAAACTACAGCTAGCCGAGACCGGTTTGGCTCAATGGATAGAGCGTCGGCCTGGGGACTGAAGGGTCCCGGGTTCGATTCTGGTCAAGGGCATGTATCTTAGTTGCGGGCATATCCCCAGTAGGGGGTGTGCAAGAGGCAGCTGATCGATGACTCTCTCTCATCAATGTTTCTAACTCTCTATCTCTCTCAATTCCTCTCTGTACAAAATCAATAAAATATATTTAAAAATTTTATAAAAAAAAAAAAAAAAACTACAACTAAAAGATAAAAATGGACATTATCCAGAACAACAGGAAAACTGGCTGAGTGGAAATTCTACAACTAAAAGGAAAGCAAAAAGCACACTGAGATGCAGAGAGGGCTGGCAACTGAGTACATGGCTGGCTTTCTCAATCAGGAGGGAGACAAAAGCTCCCAACTGCTCTGAACTTCAGTCCGGGTGAGACTCTGTGGACCCAGACTTATATGGGGAGAAACTGAACTATCAGGCAGCAGGCAAAACTCGAGGGCGGCTTTCTCTCGGAGGTGCTTGCAGGGATTACTGTGGGACACTGAGAACCTGGGTCCTCTTAGGGCAGGGCTGACAGGAAGGAATTGCTGTTTGCTCCACCCTGAGACTTAGCCCCATCTAAGCTGAGTGCAGAGGCTTTTGCATATGAATGGCCTGGTCCTTTGAATTTTAAACTTAACCTAACAAACTGCAGCTGAGTCAAAGATACCTAGAACATCCAAAAGAAGGCCCAAGGCTCCACAGCAGCTAGCACTGCTTCACAGCTGGGCCTCATCTGGACACCCCCAAAACCCAAACAAAGAAGAGGAATCTGCAGATCTCTCCTTAGCTCCTGCTGGGTGGCCTCAGGGAGAGGCTAAATTAGCACCTCCTTGGAGATCCAAGAGCCAGTGTACCCATCCAGATTGCAGCTCCTCAGATCCATAAGAGATACACTCAGGGGGCAGACTCATTGAGCACCAAAGCACCACTGAACCAAGTCTTATCTCATAAGGGTGTCTCCAGCACAGAAGTTCTCCCATCATCGACACAGCTGATCCTCACAGCCAATTGGCCTGGAGGTCAATTCCTTCCAGTGATACCAACAACAATCAAGGCTTACCTACAACAAGACTGTGCACACAGCCCACAAAGGGGTGCACCACGAGTGTCCACCTCAGGTAACTGAGGAGGTTGAGCCACTGGACCCTATAGGACACCTAGCACACAAAACCACTCTTATCAATTCAGGGAAGCAGCCAAAATGCAGAGACAAAGAGACGGGTCACAAATGAAAGAAATGGAGGAAAGCAAATGACTGGATATAGAATTCAAAACCACGTTTATAAAGTTTTTCAAGAATCTTCTAGAAAAGGCTGATAAATTTAGTGAGACCCTCCAGGATATGAAAAAGGGAATTAAGAAATTAATCAGAAATTAAGCATACACTGACTGAAATAAAAAATAATATACAGAGATCCAACAGCAGACTAGAGGATCGTAAGAATCAAGTCAAAGATTTGAAATACAAAGAAGCAAAAAACACCCACCCAGGAAAGCAAAAAAAAAAAAGAAACCAAAAATATGAAGATAGTAGTAAGGAGCCTTTGGGACAACGTCAAGTGTTCCAATATCCAAATTATGGGTGTGCCAGAAGAAGAGAGAGAGTAAGACACTGAAAACCTTTTTAAAGAAATAATGACAGAAAACTTCCCCTACCTGGTGAAAGAAATAGACTTAGAAGTCCAGGAAGCACATAGAACCCCATACAAAAGGAATCCAAAGAGGACCACACCAAGACACATCATAATTAAAATGCCAAGAGCAAAAGAGAGAGAGAGAATATTAAAAGCAGCAAGAGAAAAACAGTTAATTACCTACAAGGGAGCACCCATACGATTGTCAGCTGATTTCTCAACAGAAACTATGCAGGTCAGAAGAGAGTCACAAATATTCAAAGTGATGAATAGCAAGAACCAACCTACAACCAAGATTACTCTATCCAGCAAAGCTATCATTCAGAATTGAAGGTCAGATAAAGAGCTTCACAGATTAAAAAAAAAGCTAAAGGAGTTCATCACCACCAAACCAGTATTATGTGAAATGCTGAAAGGTATTCTTTAAGAAAAGGAAGAAGAAGAAAAAAGTAAAGATAAAAATTATGAACAATAAATACATATCTATCAACAAGTGACTAAAAAAAAGTGAATAAAAAATCTGTTGAACAGAATAAACTGATGAATATAATAGAATCGGGGGTATAGAAAGGGAGTGGACTGACGATCCTCGGAAGGAAAAGGGTGTGGGGGGTGTGGGAAGAGACTGGACAAAAATTGCACACCTATGGATGAGAACTGTGGTGGGGGGTGTTTTTTGAGGGCAGAGGGTGGGGTGGGAACCGGGTGGAGGAGAGCTATGGGGGGTGGCAGGGAATCGGAACATTTGTAATAATCTGAGCAATAAAGATTTATTTTTTTACCAAAGAAATGCCATAGATTTCTTGGCATTAATTTTGTATCCTGCTACATTCCGAATTCATTTATTAAGTCTAATAAATGATGGAGTCTTTAGGGTTTTCTATGTATAGTATCATGTCATCTGTGTATAGGACAGTTTTCTTCTTTTCCAATTTGGATGCCTTTTATTTCTTCTTCATGTCTGAGGCATGTGCCCTAGATGAAGAATTAAACCCAGGACCCTTCAGTCTGAGCCATGCTGGCTAGGGTGGCAGATTTTTTTTTTTTTATAGTTGTGTATACATACACACACAGTTTTAAGAATTTTTCAAACCCACAAAAAAACAAACAAACATAAAAAGCATAATGAATTTCTGTATGCCCCTTAACCTTTACATACCAGCTATTAACACTGGCCACTTATTTCATTTGAACCATATAGAAATGTCCCTATTGACAAAAACACACATACACACAAAATAGATTATGCAGATTGTTGAAATTGAATATACATATATACATACAACACATATTTCTTGTTGCTAAACCACCCAAAAGTAGGTATGCATCTTCCAAGGACAAAGACATTCTACTCACAACAAACTAGTGCCTCAACTGAGAAAATTCAATAGTAATTCAGTTTATCATCCACATACAGTCCTTATTTAAATTCCCCTCTTTATATCATCATGGTTTTTTGGTGTTTTGGGGTTTTTTTTCTAATTGATTTTTTTAGAGAAAAGGAGAGGGATAGATAGAAACATAGCTGAGAGAAACATTGATTGGCTGCCTTCTGCATGCCCCCCACTGGGGACCAAGCTGACAATTTGGGCATGTGCTCTGACCGGGAATTGAACTGTGACTTCCTGGTTCATTGGCTAACCCTCAACCATTGAGCCACACTGACCAGGCCATCAGGTTTTGTTGTTTTTTAAATCTACAAAACTAGTTCATGAATCTGGGTGCTTTCTCTTTAAGGAATAAATTGATGTCGTTTACTATTGGCTTACTCTAGTTTTTTTCTTCTTTGTGTTTTAGCTTCTTACATCAGTGTTTGACAACAGCATCAAAACCTTTGGAGTATTTGAGAGTGACCCTTTTGACTGGGAGAAGACTGGAACTGATGGCTCCCTAACAACCACCACTACTTCTGCCACCCCTCAGTTGCATACCCGCCTGACCCCTGCGGCAATCGGGTACGTCCTCAGCTGCTCATTTAGCAGTATTTGCTGGATGCATTATATGTTTTCACTCAGACTCCTACAGATGGCCAAATGCTAAGACATAGGTGAAAGCCTATGGGTTTTCTTGAGTTAACATTGCTCTGTATATGCCTTTTTCAGGTGTGCTGTTCATAGAAAGTGTTTATGGATCATACTGTGAAATGGGACCTTAGAGCTTGTGTGAGTTGATGTCAGGTTTACAGTGGGTTTTCTCATTTTAAAAATGAGGAGCATTTGTTACATTTACTTCTAAATACATGGGACCCTGGACAGAATGAGCCAAAGTATATCTAATTATACTGTGCTTAAGTTTAGTGGGACCAAAATATGTAGCTTGTTCCTCTTACAAGAGTGATTAATTTTCAAAGTGTATTAGAAACAGGTTATGGTATTTCTATCTTCTTGGTCTTTTGTGTTGTTTTCTCTGTGCGCATAAACAGTTGCTTTTGGGGAAGCAGGTTGTCTTCTTTTTTTTTATTCCTTTTCTACCTGCTCTAGTTGCTTTAAACTGTTTGCTTAAAAAGTAAATTGTAAAAAATCCTCATACAATGTGAGTTAATTGGGACATTTTATTACTAATCTATTGCTTTGATTTTATACTAAAAGATTGGATACCTAAAGTTTATTTATCAGAAAAGCATACATGGACTCATATAACTGAACATGTTATCCTTAGTTAGCTAGCTTAAGAATTCTTAAATGTGGGATCCTGACTAGCTACATCAGAATCACCACACATTTGCTTAAGATATCTATTTGAAGGACTTAGCCAAGAACCACTTAATCATATTTATCAGATGTTTTTCATACTTATCTGAGTTTGGAATCCTCAGTGAGCCACCCCATTTTATAAATGAGTGAACTACCCAACTTTAGGTAAGTATTAGTCACAGAACTTGAGCTGTTAGAAATTCTGGCTTTTGTTTTAGGGCTTTTGTTCTCCTTTGCCTTTAATTGTTGTTATCTATACTAACAAAAGGGTAATATGCTAATTACACCAGGAGACCTTCCACACAAAGCCTTGGTGGCAGGGCCCTGGCAGAGGCTGTTAGGGGCAATCAGGCGGGGGGAGGGGGGGGTTAGTTGGGGACCATCAGGTCAGTAGGGAAGGCAGTCGGGGGCAAGCAGGCTGGGGGGGGGCAGTTGGTGGGTGAGCAGGCTGACGGGGGGGGGGCAGTTGGGGGCGATCAGGTCAGGAGGGGGCAATTGGGGGTGATCAGGCTGGTGGGGGGACAGTTAGGGGTGAACAGGCCGGCAAGGGGAGCAGTTGGGGGCAAGCAGACTGGGAGGTAGAGTGGTTAGGAGTGATCAGGCAGGCAGGTGAGTGGTTAGGAGCCAGTGGTCCCAGGTTGCAAGAGGGATGTCCAACTCCTGGTTTAGGCCAAATCACATAGGGATGGAGCCTAAATTGGCAGTCAGACATCCCCCAAGGGGTCCCAGATTGGAGAGGGCGCAGGCCAGGCTGAGGGACACTCCCTGCTCCCCCACACACACACACAAATTTGGTGCACCGGGCCACTAGTAAGTAGATAAGCCTCCAACTTGAAAAAAACCAAGTGATATGACTTCAAGATAACTGAAGTTAATGAAGACAATGTAAGTTCCCATCTGCCAATGTTTCCTCCTAAAATAAGAGAATAACACGAAAGAAAAAAATAAAGCTACACCAAAACCATGTCCTACAAGTGTTGGCAACCTACGGCTCCAGAGCCGCATGCGGCTCTTTTGAAGCTTTGCCGCAGCTCCGACAGCGGGGCCCACACTAGCAGGGCCGATAGCAGAGGGGGGCGGGGAGCTGTATCACTTACCTCCGCCGCCTCCGGGGCTCCCAGCGCTCTGTGTGTTTTTTTTCCCTTCAGAAACGGGTCCAAGTGACTCTTTATGTCTTAAAGGTTGCAGACCCCTGTAAGACCAAGGATGCCCAAACTTCAAAATAACTGAGGAAAAACAAAACACCATGGCCTTGTGTGGTTATCTCTTCTGGGCCTCCTTATCCAACCCTGCCACAAGGCTTTATAAAGTCAGATTAGTAAAAACTGTGAGGAACAGGAGAATTAGCAATGGGAGTTAAGGTTGATCTAAACCGAACACCAGAAAAACTACACTATCCTAAGAACAAAAATACTAAAAAATGTCCAGATAGATCAGATTATGAACTAAAGGGAGGTACAAATATGTATGATTCAGAACATATAGCTTCTGGGGAAGAAAAAACAACAAAGAAGGGAGAGGTACCCTTTACCAGTTGATTTTTGAAGAACAAAACATATTTATTTGGGTTCAATCAGGAGAGAGAAACTACATAGTAATTTGAACAAGGAAAGAATCATTACTTATAACAGAATTGGAATAACATGGGATTAACCAATAAGAAGTAGAGAGAAGTGTAAAGAATACAAGAATAGCAAATATAAAGTGCAGCTCCTAGGCCTAGGGCCGAGATTAAGCATCCAAACAAAGCTCTCCCAGTCCAGATCTCAAGCTGAGGTATATACTGAGCTTGTTGAAGAAGGTATTCCCATCCCTCGTTGGATGGGAGAGAGGTCACTCTGATGCCACACTGGCTAGATTTGCTGAAAATCTGCCCTCTGGGGACCAAAGAAAGCTATTTACTGGGGGTGTCTTACCAGACACATTCTACTACAAAACCTGTGGGTGGTGGGATTGCTCAGGAAAGCTGTTGTTTGCTGCTATCTGTGTGAGACAGGCCCTGAAGAGGCCTCAATGCTGCAGGATGCCCACGTGGGGAGAGCCACACGTGCTAGAGAAGCTTGCCGAGCTGTACACTGGAACCCGAAGCAGAGCACTCTCCTCCTGCAATTTCCTTCCCGTGCCAGCTGGGGAAGGAAAATATCTACGGGGCTCAGATCCACTTTCATAAAACAGGAATAAAAGATGGATATGTAGCTAAAAGGCAATAAATCAATAATTCCAGAAGAACAAAAGGAGAAAAAAATTTAATTACATAATTTAATTACAAGAATGGAGACCTATGAAATCAGATGACACAAGTATTTCCCCTAACCACAAAAAACATAAATCCACTCAAGTGTTTGGACTTTGCTATACTGACAGAAGATGGCACTAACTAAACTATGAATCTTGTAAAATACTCCAATAACACAAAAATGAACAACAAAAAGATTTTAAAGTTCCATAAAGTATTATAGTAAGAAATTTGAAAATTTAATAACATACTAACTAAGGACATTTCCTCTCAGAAAAACAACCATGTGATGATGGAAAAAAGAAAAAAGTACCCTGGTGGATAGAGCATCAGCCTGTGGACTGACAAGTCCCGGGTTTGATTTCTGTCAAGGGCACATGCCTGGGTTGCAGGCTTGATCCCCAGTAGGGGGTGTGCAGGAGGCAGCTGATCAATGATTCTCTCTCATTGATGCTTCTATCTCTCTGTTCCTCTCTGAAATCAATAAAAATATTTTTAAAAATAAAGAAAAAAGTAATTATTGGGGGTGGGATAGGAAGGACAACCATAAAGAAAGTTATTAAAAGAAAGAAAGAAAACTAAGACAAAAGCCAAAATGGAATTAAACATGCTCGTTCGTTTGAAGATACAGATAACCACCTCAAACTAAGAAGAGAAATAGATACCCCCACCCCTACCCAGGGTTAGGTAGAAAAGGTGAAAGGAATTAAGTGTATAAAATGCCAGTTATAAAAAAAAAGTAGTCACAGGGATATAAAGCAAAGCATAGGGAATCCAATATAATAAAAGTCTAATATGCTAAGAGTCCAACCGTTCAACTATTCAACCAATTGCTATGATACGCACTACCACCAGGGTGCAGATGTTCCAACCCGTAGGTTAGTTTGCTGCTGGTGTCTGGGCGAGATGGCCGGACACGCCCTCAAGCCCTCCCGTGTTCCACCCCGGCCCCATCCTGCACCAGTGGGCTCCCTCAGCGTAGCCTGCACCCTCTTGCAATTCAGGACCCCTCAGGGGATGTCAGAGAGCCAGTTTCAGCCCAATCCCTACAGGCCAGGCCTCTAGTAAGTCTATTATCATAACACTAGTTATGGTGTCAGATGGATACTAGAATTATTGGGGGGAATCACTTTTTAAGGAATATAAATATCTAATCACTATGTTGTATATTTGAAACAAAAATTTTTTATGTCAACTGTAATGGAAAAATTAATTTAAAAAAATATTTTTAAAAAAGAAATAGACCCCAAAAGCGGTGGGTTCAGGGTGAGAAAAAGGAAAAGGAAAACAGAGAAAAAGAAATGAAACTTGAAAAGAAAAAAGATATTTCAAAATTTAGTAAATTATAAAATGTACAATGAAGAATAGACTCAAATGAATATTTGACCCTTTGCACTATGAACCATTCTGGACATTGGCTACCAGCTACTCTCGACGCTACTTTGCAGCATTTACAGACCCTCGTAATCACTAATAAACTGCAATGTCCCCTGAGAAGGAACATCCGAGTGATATGCTAGAATTCCGATGTCCCCTGAGAGGGGACAGCGGAGTGCAAAGGGTTGATAAAGGACATTTAGTAAAATTGGTGGAAATGAAAAAAAATCATTTAAAAGAGATAGGGTAAATGTAGTGCAAATGTGCGGCAGACAGTGAAGGACTAGCTTTCCTTTCGTTAGTTGATTGGGTAGTTAACTTGGTCTCGTTTTACTGGTGAGGAATGGTATAAATACCTAGCATGGTATTTATAAGTTGAAGTGCCTTTGAAAAGGCAGACTGATGCCCTAACCGGTTTGGCTCAGTGGATAGAGGGTCAGCCTGTGGACTGAAAGATCCCAGGTTCGATTCTGGTCAAGGGCATGTACCTTGGTTGTGAGCACATCCCCAGTAGAGTGTGTAGTAGGCAGCTGATGGATGTTTCTCTCTCATCGATGTTTCTAACTATCCTTCTCTCTTCCTCTATGTAAAAAAAATCAATAAAATACTTTTTTTTTTTAAAGGCAGACTGATAACTTGTATAATAAATATGGGCCCACAGCTTAAAGACTGCACAGAATTTAAACTAGCTGAATTGGAAAAAATAAATATTAGACCTACAAGATTACCATTTACTATCTGGCCCTTTAAGAAAAAGTTTGCTGCCCCGGCTGGTGTTCTTAGTGGTTAGAGCATCGGCCTGCACTGAAGGGCCTTGGGTTTGATACCCAGTCAAGGGCATGTACCTACCTAGGATGCAGGTTCCATCCCAGGGAATGTGTGGGAGGCAGCCAATTAATATGTCTCTCTCACTTCAACGTTTCTCTCCCCACACTCCCTCCCACTCTCTAAAAAAAAAAAAAAAAAAAAAGTTTGCTGAATTCTCTGTTCGCAATTGTTATGGAGGCATAATAATTAGAAAGCTCTAGAGAATCATTGTTAAAGAGAAAAAAATGATTATGTATGTCCCACAACTCTGAATTTATTACTAGAAGAAGAAAGTTCCGGAAAAGGTAGGAGGATGTTTTAGATCAGAAGTCAGCAATCTTAACTGTAAAGGTCCATAAACATTTGTGGACTGCTATCTCTGTCTCCATTATCGCTGCTGTTGTAGCGCTAAAGCAGCCATAGACAACATGAAAACAAATGAGTGAATGTGTGCCGAAATACTGTATTAACAAAAAATAGGTGAGTAGGCCAGATCTGGCTCAGAAGCCTTAGTTTGCCAGCCCCTGACTTAAATTAAGGGGAAGGGAATATGAAAAGGATGTCTATTCTTACTACTTTTCCAGTTTTCCCACACACCTCACTTTTCCCCCTAATCTGCTTCTGTAATTTATATCTTAGCTGCAAACACTACCACATGCTAAAAATATTTTCACACATACTTTCTTACTCATTCCTTAACACGATACTCGCACGCATATTTTATCACACATTCTTATTCTTTAACATAATACTCTCATATGTACTTTCTCATTCTTATTCCTTAACATAATTTCTCTGGAAAGGAATTCTTTCCTTTGTACCTCAAAATCCAGGTTTTGATCAGAATTTTAGGAGAAGAAAATAATGTAAGGAGTAAAAGCGGGAGAATAAGTACAGAGAGGAACCAGAGTTGTGTGGAGAGTGTGGAAGAGCTCCTGGAAGTGTGTGGTATTGAAGCCTAGGAGATACGAGGGAAATTAATATAGAGTAAAAATAGCAGCAGATTGCCGAAACCGGTTTGGCTCAGTGGTAGAGCATTGGTCTGCAGACTGAAAGATCCTAGGTTCCGATTCTGGTCAAGGGCATGTACATTGGTTGTGGGCACATCCCCGGTAGGGGGTGTGCAAGAGGCAGCTGGTCGATGTTTCTCTCTCATCGACGTTTCTAGCTCTCTATCTCTCTCCCTTCCTCTTTGTAAAAAAATCAATAAAATATATATTTTTTAAAAATAGCAGCAGATTATAGGTGGAGGAGCAGAAGAAGAAAATGCCAAGGAATTGGTAGTTGGAAAGAGACAGGGTAGTAGGCATGTGGGAAAAAGACTTTGGAAGAACACTCAGTGATTAACATAGGGCTGGGGGGAGGGGTGATGTGGGGGCGGAATGTGGGGCTAGTAGATTGAACTTCCTGAATTCAAATATTTTTCCTTTTGCAAGTCCCTTTCCTCAGGATAGGGGGAATTCTTTCAATAAATATTTGGTATGCCATGTAACATATGTTAATGTCTACTGTAAGTCCTTATATAAATAAATTATATTGAACTTACACCTGAAAATTTTATTTAACTTTACTTTTTTAAAATTAAATTTTTCCCCATCACCATTTATTCCTTCTATGTCCTGTTCTACCTCTACTCATCCCCCTCCTGAACTTTACTTTCATAATAAATCTGTTCATTTGAACTACTTTAGGCCAAACTTATCTTTTCAAGATGTTCTTAGTGTCAGAACTGCAGGTACTACTTTACAAGGCTATAAGTTTCTTTCCTGAGAGCCGTGGCCAATGCTTTTCTATATTGCTTACCTCTAACCTATTGACAAGTCCCTGAAAATGACTGATCTTTGTTCTCACAGCATGGCATTTATGACATCTGGGCCAGCGTGTAATGTTATCCTTAGAGTGGTGCACTAAGATGCCTCTTTTATCACTCATAATAATTATGTCAGTATAATCCACTGAAGGCTGGTTTTCTACTTTTAAACCTTCCAGATCACCTCTAGGATAAGGTTTCATTCTGTACTAAATATTGTGTTCAGTCAGCAGTATTTTTAAAAATTGAGTGTAGTGCAGAGTCATTGAAAGTAAGAGCTGGCAGGGGCCTAATCACTAGTGATAACAGAACTAGAAAAGCCTTTCATGGGCCAGAAGTCTAAGAGAGAGATGACCAACCATGTAAACAGACATGAAGTTACTTTGAAAGCAATATATAAACAAAGTGCCAATTTATATTTTCTAGTTCCCCCTAGAGGGCAAGAATTTCCTTTTTCTTCTTTTGTCTCCTAAGGCCTTGCATGGAATAAGTATTTAGTAAAAGTCTGTAAATGAAAAAAAAAATGCACATTTTACACTATTCAAAGCATAATTTGATTAGATACCTGCTTATATTATTATTATTAACATTTTCCTGTTTATAGTTTTTGTTGTTCTCTGAGAAAAATGGGTAAAAAACCCCAAAAAATTGTAAAAGACTTCTTGGAACAAAAACCAAATGTTTCTAACTTTTAAAGTAATTATTAAGTTAGTGAGTTATTATATTGGAATTTTTATTTTTAAATCAGGTTGAAAATTCTGTTGATCAAAATGTACAAGTTTTATTTTGTAGAATTGTCACAGCCTATTTGAGTTTTGTTTTGCTTTACTCTTTTAATGATATATAGACTTCATCATTTAACTCCAGAAACAAAATGGAAAATAGTCTCATTGTAATTTTTGATTCTGGTGTTTTTAAGTTCTACCTTTTCTTCACCCCTCATTTTTAGAATTGCTAATGCCACTCCCATCCCAGGGGACTTGCTTAGAGAAAATACAGATGAGGTGTTTCCAGATGAACATCTCAGTGATGGGGAAAATGGCATCCCTGTTGGTATGTCACCGGATAAATTGCCTGGATCTCTGGGACACACTCATCCCCAGGAGAAGGATGTCTGGGAAGAGATGGATGCCAACAGGAACAAGATAAAGTTTGGAATTTGTAAGGTGTGTATTTCTTGCATAGGAAGTAATATCTTTCTGTTTACTTATTTTCTCCTGTAGCGAAGTATAATGATTCTCAATTTTGAATGAGAAGTAGACAGTATTGCTAGTTATTTCTGTATTTGTAATTGCAGTAATTTTTAATTTTGCCCAAAATATTGAAGTATGGATACCAAATATTAATCTTCATCTTATATTTTGTGAAAAAGATAAAAGTATTTAAAAAAAAAAAAACCTAACTAGACCTTCAGAAAAAATAAGAGACATCTATAGAACAGAAGTTAATAGTCTTTATAAATAATGTGACAAGACCCTGGACTCCTTTGTATGGACTGATAGAGCTATGAGTACCCATTCTGAAACTGTGTCAGATGGAGGTGGGGAAGGGAGAGTTGGAGGTGAGAAGCGCCACACAGCTGTTTATGAGTTGACAATGTGGATGTTGAACAAATGACATGATTTTTTTCTTCATTAGAATTGCAAGTAGGTCCACCTGTAAGTATGGTGAAAGATAGATTTCTAAATTGAATGATTAATTTTTAGTAATCTTCCACAAATTTCTTTCTGATCTTACTATTCCTCATCATTTCCATTTTCATAGAAGATTATATGAAGATAAATGGTATGTGGGGGCAAGGAATTAGAAATCAGTTTTTGGTGCTTCCTATGTTTTAAGGGTTAGTTGCAAAAAAGATTAAGTTCATAAGTGTGTAAAATAAGACTTAGGGCTCATACCTGTTAACACGATGGATAGAAAGTTGGCTAGTCATGCTTTATGAATGAGGAATATATCTTGAAAAGAATCCTCTACAATCACTTCTGAGGAATTAACTATATAATTTAGAACAGTATATACTTTCAGTCATGGGAGTCATTTGCAAAAACTTTCTCTGTGTACGTGGTAGTGAAAAAATTGTCAGGAGATCACTGTCAGATTTTTGGAATGTAGCTGTGGCTGTCTTTATGGCACCAGGAGCAAACTGTTCTCATGGTAAAAACAACAACAAAACACACACACACACACACACACACACACACACACACACACACAAACCCACATTTAGTTGCCAGCCCATATGGGTGTCTGTGTATATGAGAGGCATAAGTTTGGTAATTGGCATAAGTTTTTAGTTTCCTTTTACCAATTATCACTATTTAATCTTTATTAGTTCTCTTCTACTTTTAATTCCATCCTTTAAAAAAAATAAGATATTAGTGATGTTGAACTTTCATACAAGGAATGTTTATATTAATTTTTAAAAGATGTTTACCATTTCCTTCCATTTTTGGAAGTCTTGGACTCATCTTTCTTCTTTTCTTTTCTTTTCTTTTCTTTTCTTTTCTTTTCTTTTCTTTTCTTTTCTTTTCTTTTCTTTTCTTTTCTTTTCTAAATCTGGACTCACCTTTCTTCCTGAAATATATCCTTTGGAAGTTCCTTTAGTTGAGATTTTTTGGTAGAGACTCTCACTTTTTTCTTAGCAGTAAATGTATTTATTTTAGCCTTATTCTTTTTTCTTCTTTAATCCTCATACGAGAATATTTTTTTCATTGATTTTTAGAGAATAAAAGGGAGGAAAGAGGGGATGAGAGAGAGACATCAGTGTAAGATATAGACCAGTTGCCTTCTGCACATGTGTGCCCCTACTAGAGCTGGGTGTCAAACCTACTCTTGACTGGCAATCACACCTGCTCTTGACTGGGAATCAAACCCTTGACCCTTTGATTGTAGGGCCACTGTTCTAACCATTCAGCAAAACCAGCCTAATTCTTTAATGATAGTTATGCTGGTTTCAAAGTGGGGTTTTTTCTTTTCCTTCCTTCCTTCCTTCCTTCCTTCCTTCCTTCCTTCCTTCCTTCCTTCCTTCCTTCCTTCCTTCCTTCCTTCTTTCCTTCCTTCCTTCCTTTCTTCCTTCCTTTAAATATATTTCATTGAATTTTCACAGAGAGAAAGGGAGAGAGACAGAGAGCCAGAAACATCGATGAGAGAGAAACATCAATCAGCTGCCTCCTGCACCCCCCACTGGAGATGTGCCCACAACTAAGGTACATGTCCTTGACCGGAATTGAACCTGGGACCTTTTAGTCCACAAGCTGACTCTCTGTCCACTGAGACAAATCGGTTTTGGCGGTTTTTTTCTTTCTTATTGGATTTAAAATTCTTCCTTTTTTTGATTGATCAATCTTTTTATAAAATTCATCTTCAAAAATTACTGGAGTGACAAAAATTTACTGAGCTGGTAAAATATTATTTGATACATTTTTTAAAATATCCAATATCTGCCGAAACCGGTTTGCCTCAGTGGATAGAATATTGGCCTGCGGACTGAAAGGTCCTGGGTTCGATTTCGGTCAAGGGCATGTACTGTGGTTGCGGGCACATTCCCGGGTGGGGGGTTGCAGGAGGCAGCTGATTGATTTTTCTCTCTCATCGATGTTTCTGACTGTCTATTTCTCTCTCTTCTTCTCTGTAAAAAATCAATAAAATATATTTATAAAAAACAAATTTAATAAAAAAATATCCAATATCTCCTAAACCAGATAACCTGTGTTAATAGCCTGGGTATATCCTTCTATGCTGTTATTTTTTCTGATACACACATATACAGCAAATACACATGCATATATGTTTTTTAGCTGATTTGGCACAGTGGGTTTAAAGTTCTTGATTGACAAGTTATTTTTCCTCTTGCTTCATCTATTGGTATAAATAGTCTGCTGTCACTCTGATTTTGTTTGTATGTTTGTGTATGTGAATGTATGATCATTCCACCTGGCCTCCCATCCCAGCTACATTTTAGCTTTACTTTTTTTCTTAGGTGTTCTGCTGTTTTAACTACAATATATCTGCACATATATATATTTTTTTTGTTTATCCTGCTTAGGATGTTTTATGTTTTCTGAATCTTTGATTCATAATTTTTTTTTATCAGTTCTGGGAGATAAAAAAAACTGTCATTCTCTACCTAAATATTGTCACATCTTCATTCTTTCTGTTCTCTTTCTGGGATTCTAATTAAACATATATTATGCCTTTTTATTCTGTCATATCTTTTAGTATATTTTTTCATATTTTTCACATCTTGCTGTGCTTCATACCAGGTAATTTCTTTTTCTATGTCTTCTAATCCTCTAATTAATAACTGTAGCCTTTTATGGCTAATATATTTAACTTGTTAATAGAATATTTAATATTAAATTTATCTGTTAATTCCAAATAATCCTTTGTTAATCTTTGTGATAATGGCCTTCATTTATTTAAACATTTTATGCCTAGCTATTCTCTATTCTTTATCTGAAACAGTTTGATAGCTGATGATTTGGGGAAGCTTACACTTAAAAAAATTCTGCTGACTCAGTCAAGGTGGCATTGCCTTCTCATGTGTGTGACTATCTTTTTTTTTTTTTTTAATCCTCACCCAGGGATATGTATTTATTTTTTATTGATTTGAAAGAGATAAAGAAAGAAACATGGGTGTGAGAGAGAAACACCAATTGATTGACTCCCGTACATGCCCAGACCAGGGATGGAACATACAACCTTTTGGTGTGTGGGGTGACACTCCAACCAAGTGAGCCACATGGCCAGACCTTGTTTGACTATCTTTAATGTTTTACTCTTTAATTAATAATTGGTAGGAGTTCTGTAGACCTAAATTGGGAAGTGGAGAAACCTTCCTTCAGAGAAGATTATCTACTGCTTCTGCTGGTAGCCAAAGTGAACTCCTTGTTGGAGACCATTTGCACATCTTGAGGGTCTTTAATCAGAAAGACATCCCAGATTCCCCTCTTTCCTCCCACCACTAGTATAAATCTTAATTTCCCTTATAATTGCACTGCTTAGGCATCTGTTCTTAGGTAGCCCCACCCTTCTGTGCTGCCCAATGCCAGCAGCCTCCTGCTCCACCCAGCTCCTTATTGTTCAAACACTGAGTTTCCTTATTCTTGTTTGTTTTTTAAAGAGGGAACACAGCAGGCGTGGCTTACTCTCTTACTGCTTGTGAAACCACCTGACTCAAAGAGAATGTCCTGAGATTTAGTTTAGTGGATGGGGTCCTGGAAGTTTCTAGTTAGACATAATACAAAAAGCTAAGGTTATTATTAAACATTTTTAGATTGTTTATCTTTGTACCAAAAGTATAAAAACTAAAATAATACTGAAACTGAGAATAAATTAAGGAAGCTCACTTAATAAAAGAGTTAAGAGAAAAATATGTCATGACCTAAATTAGGCAAAATATTTTAATCTTGTGAGAACATATCCCAAGCATTTGGTTATATTATGTTGAAAGACTTCAACAATTATTATCATGTATAGTAACTGGAATGTTTTTTCACAATTTTATATTTGGTCTAGGCTGCTACTGAAGAGGAGAATAGCCATGGTCAAGCAAATGGTATTCTGAATGCTCCAAGCCTTGGTTCACCAATTCGTGTCCGCTCAGAAATTACTCAGCCAGACAGAGATGTTCCGTTGGTGCGAAAGTTACGTTCCATCCACAGCTTTGAGCTGGAAAAGCGTCTAACACTAGAGCCAAAGCCAGATACTGACAAGTTTCTTGAGACCTGGTATAAAATAGTTTTTTCTCTTTTTTAAAAACTAAGATAATATAATCTTAAATTTTTATTTATTAATTTTTATTATGTAAAGTCTTTCAAATAAATGTTTGCATTTGTGTAGCACTGATTTGATTAAGCTCTCATCTTTGTTTTTAATTACCATCTTGATTGTTGTTGTAAATTGCCTCCTAATTTATTACAACTCCTATAACATAGCCTTTGGCTTTGGGAGCTGGACAGTGGGCGCTGTTAACTTTATAATACTAGATATTAGTTAATAATTAGTCAATAAATGAACATTTTAAAAAATATATTTTATTGATTTTTTTACAGAGAGGAGGGGAGAGAGATAGAGAGCCAGAAACGTCGATGAGAGAGAAACATCGACCAGCTGCCTCCTGCACACCCCCTACCTGGGATGTGCCCGCAACCAATGTACATGCCCCTGACCGGAATCTAACCTGGGACCTTTCAGTCCGCAGACCGACGCTCTATCACTGAGCCAAACCAGTTTCAGCTAAATGAACACTTTGAAGTTTGTTTGGAAGGTGATCTCTTATTGGAATGGAGAAGATGCAGTATAGAGTTGGAGAAGGCATTAAGCAGGAAGGAGGGAGAAAAGTCATTTATACACAAAGGACAGACAAGTCAGTTCATTTTAATGAAGGCCTTCTATGAGTAGTGCTGTAGGGAAAATAGACATGAATAAGTTTATCATTCTATCTAGAAAGAAGGAAAGACAGGACTTTAGAGAGCTCACAATCAACTTTGAGAGGAGGACAGGCGAAACTTAGAAAGCCATACATTGATAATGACTGCAGTTATGAGGCCCATTGTCCTCAAGTTTTGATAATAAAAGACAGAATGAAACGTTTAAAAGATTTGGGATATATTTATGAATTAAGAAGGCTTCAATAATATTAATACTCGCCGAGACCAGTTTGGCTCAGTGGATAGAGAGTCAGCCTGTGAACTGAAAGGTCCCAGGTTCGATTCCGGTCAAGGGCATGTACCTTGGTTGCGGGCACATCCCCAGGAGGGAGAGTGCAAGAGGCAGCTGATCAATGATTCTCTCTCATCAATGTTTCTAACTCTATCCCTCTCTCTTCCTTGCTATAAAAAAATCAAAATATATTTTAAAAAATAATAATAATAATACTCTAGTGACTTCAATGATACTGACATTCTTCACCGTACATCCCTGGTGGCTATTATTGGCAGTGGAGTATAGTTAGAAGGACCATGTATTTGACATGGTAGTAATTGTCCGGAGACAATTCAGCCACTCTGGCCTAGTCCAGTTTGGCTTCCATTTTAAACAGTTCTTCATGGATGTATATTCTTCCTATAATCATTCAACTCACAGCTATGTGATGTAAGCTTGTGTCTACATGTTGATATGATCAAAAGGATGGACTAGGGTTGGGGCAGTATTTAAACATTTTGAGTTGTGGCTAAGATTAGAGATAAATATAAGGGAGGATAAAAGCTTAGTTTGATAAAGAATTAGTCTTACAAAAGAATAGAACTTTAAAAAATATTTTTTATTTTATTTATTTTTTAATTCATCTTTATTGTTGAGATTATTACAGATGTCTGTCTCTCCCCCACCACCCCATGGCTACCCTCCACCTGGTTCCCACCCACCCCAGGCCCTCGCCATCCTATTGTCTGTGTCCATCGGTATTGCATACAGGCATATAAGATCCTTGTCTAATCTCTTCCTGTATTCCCCACACAACCTTCCCTCTCTTCCTGTATTCCCCACATAACCTTCCCTCTGTTTCATTTTCATGCCCCTGATTCTATTCACCAGTTTATTCTGTTCATCAGATTTTTTTATTCATTTGATTTTTAGGTTTGTTGCTAGATATTTGTTGTCACTTTGTTGTTCATATTTTTTATCTTTACCTTTTTCTTCTTCTTCCTCTTTTTTTTTATATATGTATATATATTTTATTGATTTTTTACAGAGAGGAAGGGAGAGAGACAGAGAACTAGAAATGTCGATGAGAGAGAAACATCAACCAGCTGCCTCTTGCACACTCCCTACCGGGGATGTGCCCGCAACCAATGTACATGCCCTTGATGGGAATCGAACCCAGGACCTTTCAGTCCACAGACTGACGCTCTACCACTGAGCCAAACCGGCTTCGGCTTCTTCCTCTTCTTAAAGAATACCTTTCAGAGTTTCATATAATACTGGTTTGGCTATGATGAACTCCTTTAGCTTTTTCTTATCTATGAAGCTCTTTATCTGACCTTCAATTCTAACTGATAGCTTTACAGGGTAGAATAATCTTGGTTTAGGTTCTTGTTATTCATCACTTTAAATATTTCTTGCCACTCCCTTCTGGCCTGCATTGTTTTCTGTTGAGAAACCAGCTGACAGTCATATGGGCACTCCCTTGTAGGTAACTAACTTTTTTCTCTTGCTACTTTTAAGATTCTCTCTTTGTCTTTTGCCCTTTGCATTTTAATTATGATGTGTCCTGGTGTGTTCCTCTTTGGATTCCTCTTGTTTGAGGTTCCCTGTGCTTCCTGGACTTGTAAGTCTATTTCTTTCACCAGGTGGGGGAAGTTTTCTGACATTATTTCTTCAAATAAGTTTTCAATACCTTGCTCTCTCTCTTCTTCTGGCACCCCCATAATTTGGATGTTGGTATGCTTGAAGTTGTCCCAGAGGACCCTTACACCATCTTCATATTTTTGGATTCTTTTTTATTTTTGCTCTTCTGCTTGGGTATTTTTTGCTTTCTCATATTTCAAATCATTGATTTGATTCTCAGAATCCTCTAGTCTACTGTTGAATCCCTGCATGTAATTCTTTATTTCATTCAGTGTATACTTAATTTCTGACTAGTCCTCTTCCAATTTTTTGCCATTTTCACTAATATTCTAAAAAGTCTCACTAAGAGTCTCGGAGGTTTCTAAAAGATTCTTGAGTAAACTTATAACTGTGGTTTTGAACTTTATATCCAGTAGTTTGCTTTCTTCCACTTCTTTCATTGTGACATGTTTCTTTGTCTCCACATTTTGGCTGCTTCCCTGTGTTTGCTTCTATGTATTGGGTAGCTTCTAAGTCTTCTTGAGTTGATAGAGTGACTTTGTGTACTGGTAGTAGGTATCTTATAGGATCTAGTGGCTCAGCTTCCCCAATCACCTGAGGTGGACACTCTTAGTGAACCCCTTAGTTGGCTGTGTGCAGAGTTGTGTTGTAGTTGAGCCTTGATTGCTGTTGGTGTCACTAAGAAGAATTGACCTCCAGGCCAATTGGCTGTGGGGGCCATCTGTGATTACAGTGGGAGAGCTGCTGTCCAGGAGACATCCTTGTGGAGCAGGACTTGCTTCAGTGGGTCTTTGGTGCTTACTGGGTCTGCCCCTTGAGTGAGTCACTTATGGATGTGAGGAGTTGTAATCTAGTATGGGCTCACACTGACCACTGGGTACACTAGCTCTTGGGTCTCCAGGGAGGTGCAAAGTCAGTCACTGCCTGGAGCCATCAAGCAGGAGCCACAGAGAGATCTGCAGATTCCTCCTCTTTGTATGGGGTTTGGAAGTGCCCAGATGAGGCTCAGCTGTGAAGTAAGGCACAGTTGTCCTGGTGCTGAGACTTAGGCCTTTTATTGATAGTTTTGGGGCTCCCTGACCCAGCTGCAGCTTTGTTTGACATTTTTTTAGCCTGAGAAAGGACAGACCATTCATAATGCAAAAGCCACTGGGCACGGTATGGGTGGGGTTGTAAATTTCAGGGAATCACCAGGGCAGAGCAAACAGATTGGCTTCCACTCAGCCCTGCTCGGGAAGTCCCAGCATGGGGACAATGACCTCCGTCTGTAACAAAGCTGCTCCCGACTTCCTGCCCCAATGCCAGACAGTCCAGTTTCTCCCCATATGTGTTTGAACTCCAGAGCCTTGCTGGGCATTGGAGCTCAGAGGAAGTGAGAGCTTGTAAATTCAGTTCACAGTGCCGGCCTTTTAAGAGGAGCAGCTGGGTCTCCAGAAGCCTATTTGTCACTCAGCTCCAATCTGGTTTTTACAGCCTATAGCTCTTACTGCCTATATGGACTTCTTTCCCTAGCTCTGGGACCCCTTGCTCCACCGGGCAACCTCTCAGATGTGATCTCCCTCCTGATTAAAAAAGTGGCCTACCTGGATTCGAACCAGCCCATTGCAGGCCTCCGCACTTCCTACCAGCCTCAGTGTGCTTTCTTCTTTACTTCTCTAGTTGCAATACTTCCATTCAGCCAACTTTCCAGCGGTTCTGGATGAGAATTGTTCTGTACTTTAGTTGTAATTTTGATGTTGTGGGAGGCAGTGAGTACAGGTGTTTACCTATGCCGCATCTTGGTTCTCCTTAATATTTTTATTGATTTCAGAGAGGACGGAAGAGGAAGAGAGAGATAGAAATATCAAGGATGAGATAGAACCATTGATTGGCTGCCTCCTGCATGCCCCCTACTGGGAATTGATCCCACAACCCAGGCAGTGCCCTTGACCAGACCCTTCAGTCTGCAGGCTGACATTCTATCCAGTAGAGCCAAACTGGCTAGGCAGAATAGAACTTTTTAAAAAGAGTACATGCTGAGGGAAAACAGAATTGAGAATAGAAGTAATCCAAGAAAATGAACTCAAGCCCAGCTGGTGTGGCTCAGTGGTTGAGTATTGGGCCCATAAAGCAGGAGGTCACACTTCTATTCCTGGTCAGGTCACAAGCCACAGCTGCAGGCTCCATTCCCAGTAGGGGGTGTGCTAAAAGCAGCTGATCGATGTTTGTTTCTCTCGCTCTCCCTTTTTTTTAATATATTTAATTGATTTTTTTACAGAGAGGAAAGGAGAGGAATAGAGAGCTAGAAATATCCATGAGAGAGAAACATCTATCAGCTGCTCCTGCACACCCCCTACCCGAAACCAAGGTACATGCCCTTGACCAGAATTGAACTTGGGACCCTTCAATCCACAGCCCGACACTCTTATTTACTGAGCCGAACCAGTTAGGGCTTGATGTTTTTCTCTTATTGATGTCTCTATTTTCCTCCCACTCCTTTGTAAAAGGAATAAAAATACATTAAGAAAATAAAATGAACTCAAGCCAGAACCTAGAATGAAAAGGAATTGAAGCACCAAATTATAAACTTAAGGGAAAAATGTATTGCTTAAACTACTTCCCTGCAGATGAGATCAGTTCTCAGAAGGCAGTGTAGCCAAACACCACCAGTCACACTATGTTGCCTGCCCCTCAGAGAGATTTGTATGTACAGTGTCAACTGCCTCTTGATCCAACAAAACTGAAAATATACCCTGAAGCTTCCCCCATCCAAGCACCATTATTGGAGTTCTGTGTGCGTAGTGGGCTAGGTGTGGGTGAGCAGGTACAGTACCTGCTCTTCTTCAAAGCCTTGCCTTTGGAGGATATAATTGAATGAGTATATATTTGCAGACATTGCTAGAGACAAACAAATGCAGGAAGTATTTTCCTTATGTATACTAGCTTCTTTGCTCCCTTTTTCTAAAAATAGTTTATTGACATATGTAATACTTTCAACTTAAAGATTAAAAAATAATAATAAAATAGCCAAAACCGGGTTGGCTCAGTGGATAGGGCGTTGGTCTGCAGACTGAAAGGTCCCAGGTTCAATTCCGGTCAAGGGCATGTACCTTGGTTGCGGGCATATCCCCAGTAGGAGGTGTGCAAGAGGCAGCTGATCGATGATTCTTTCTCATTGATGTTTCTAACTCTCTTTCTCTCTTTCTCTAGAAAACCAATAAAATATATTTAAAAAAATAATAATAATAATAAAATAGTTTATTGGTGTGTTTGTTTTTAAAGAGAGAGAGGAAGGGAAAGGGAGACAAAGAAACATCCATGTGACAGTGCAGCATCAATTGGCTGCCTCCTGCATGCCCCCTATCAGGGATGGAGCCCTCAACCTAGGCACCTACCCTGACCAGGAATGGAACAGTCAACCTCCTGGTACATGGGATGATGCCCAACCAACTGAGCCACACTGGCCAGACCTCTTTATTTCTTTTTGTAGGGCTTCTGGTGAGGTAAAAGCCCTTTGGGTAAATTGTTCTCGGTCCCTCAGAGGAGAGAGCAGAGAGCAGAGGGCAGTGTGATTGAATTGGCCAGGCAAAGATGAAGTGGATCATACAAGTCAACCAGTTAGGCTTCTCTGCAGCAGGAGAGAAATCTCCCATGACTCCATCTTCCCAAACAAGATCCTGAAAAGTAGAGAAGAGCATGATCAATCTGTGAAACTTTCCTTATGCTTTATCTGTGTTATTTTATTTTTTTATTTTTATTTTTATTTTTTTTATTAAATTATCTTTGTTCATATACCATTGCCCCCTCTCCCATACTATCTGTGTTATTTTATTTTATCTGTGTTATTTTAATCTCTGTGTGAATATTAATTCTGTATAGAGCTTATAGGTTATGCAATAAGTATTACCCTTGGACAATTAACTTCTCTCTGTTTTCTTAAGCCTGGAGAAAATACAGAAAGATTCCATTGCAGGAAAGGAACCTGTTCTTCCTGCCCTGCCTCATAAGCCTTGTGTTCCTGCTGGGGCCCGTACTGACCACATCTGGAACTATGATGAAGAATATCTTCCAGATGCTTCTAAGCCTGCCTCTGCCCATACTCCTGAGCAGGCGGATGGTGGCGGCAGCAATGGATTTATAGCTGTTAACTTGAGCTCTTGCAAGCAGGAGGTTGATTCCAAAGAATGGGTGATTGTGGACAAGGAGCAGGACCTTCGGGATTTTAGGACAAATGAGGCTTTAGGCCATAAAACAACAGGGAGCCCTTCTGATGAGGAGCCTGAAGTACTTCAAGTTCTAGAAGAATCACCTCAAGATGGAAACCTCCGATTGGGTCCTTGGGAAGAAAATATTCATTTAAAGAAGGAAACCTCAGGTGTGATCTTAGCACTTTCTGGGGAATGCTATGCCACTGCTGCTTCAGAGCAATATACAGATAGGCTAGAACTCCAGGCTGGAGCTGGTGGTCAGTTTACTGCAGCAACACCCACAAGTCCAATGGAGGCACAAGCAGAAGGACCCCTTACAGCGGTAAGAGATTTGTTCCTGTCATTTATCTGTTATCCATTCAAGGAATTATTAAGAAAGGACTGTCCTGGCCAGTGTAGTTCAATTGGTTGAGCATCATCCTGTGCACTGCAAGGTCACTGGTTCAATTCCCGGTCAGGGCACAGGCCTGTGTTGAGAAATTGATCCCCTGTTGAGGTGCGGCTGGTTGATTTTTCTCTCTCACGTCAATTTCTCTGTCTTTTTCTTCCTCTACCTTTCTCTATCTCTAAAAATCAGTAAATTTTTGTATAAGTAAATTTAGTCCTTTCATATGTATAAGTAAATATATATATATTTTGTCCTTTCATATGTATAAGTAAATTTTAGTCCTTACTTATACTTATGAAATACTTACTTATACATATGAAAGGACTAACAGTTGATCAACTCAGGTCCTTCACCAGACTCCTAAGTATGCAAATGTGTATAAGGAATGATGCTTGGACTAGTTAGTCTTCCAGTATGAAATTTCTCAAAAAGTGAGGTTTCCTGTCAAGATACAACTCAATACACAATATGTCATTATGCCCTAACTTCAGAATAACATTTATACTTAGACTATAAGAACTATTTATCTATGTGTGTATACATAATGATTTTTTAAAAATTGTAATTCTAGATATTTTTTAATATCTACATTAGAAACATGGTGAGGAAACACCTGGCTGGTGTGACTCAGTGGTTGAATACCAACCTATGAATCAGGAGGTCACTGTTTGATTCCTAGTCATGGCACATGCCCAGGTAGGGAGAGTGCAGGAGGCAACTGATCAATGATTCTTTCTCATTATGGATTTTTCTACTTCTCCCTCTCACTTCCTCTCTGAAATCAATAAAAAAAATATTGTGAGGAAGGAATATTTTTAACCATTCATGATTTGTACCAGCACTTTATTTTTATTTATTTGATTTTATTAAAGAATTATAAATTTATTAGGTCATATGGAAACCCAGATGGACTTAGCCCCAAAATGGCACCAGCCCATGGTTTGTACTTTATACTGTTGCTAAATCTAATTCTTTTTTTCCCTCTCTCTTTTGTAACCTCCACCTAGACATTTCTCATATTTTATATTCTTCTTAAGCAATAGTTTTATAGCTTTGATATCCACTGTTTAAAATACAGAGGCCCAAGCTCATTTTCAGAACTTCTGCTTCAGAAAGTCTGGGATAGAGTAGTACCTGTATTTTAACAAGAAGCTAAAGGTAATTATGATAAGTCCTCTGCAAAGGAATGTTTTGAGGAAACTGCTGTTTACTCTCATTTTGGGCATTCATAAGGAGACCCCTGTTACACTGCTGTTTTCAGTAAGTAGTGCTGCCCCACAGCTATGTGAGTGGCAGGAGTTCCAGAAAAGCCAGAGATGGAGGCAGTAAGAAACTGTGTACACAAACCGTAGACAGAAGCAGGTACATCAGTTTTTACATGTTGGGAATACCAGGTTTTCTTAAATTCCATCATCATCTAGTGGCCCTCTCCTCCAACTCACCAGAAATAGCATTGTTCCCCAGACTGAAATGTTTTTTATTAGAACACAATTCCTCATGCAAGTGTAAAGCAATGAGAAAAGATAATAGAATTTGATTTTGTAAATAAATAGCTCTGTAGGAATTTACCTGCACTACAAAATGGGAAAATAAATGCCTACTTCTTATTTGTTTATCTTATAATCTTCATCTGAGGAAGTGTGGGGGGTGTGTGTGTGTGTGTATGTGTGTGTGAGAGAGAGGGGGGGGGGTGGGGGAAGGAGAGCTCGATTGGTTGTCCTCAAAATGCACCCTGACTGGGACTGAACCTACTACTCAGGTATGTGCCCTGACTGGGACTCTAACCAGCAACCCTTTGATGCACAGGATGACAATTAAGTGAGCTATTCTGGCCAGGCTACCTCCTTTTTTTTAATCAGTTAGTTGATCTTTCCTTCTTCCCCAAGACTGCTTTGTAAAGTTATATAGGTTGTTTACTGCATGCCTAGCCAAGGGAGCAGTTGGGTCTGAAATCTAGCTCAAACTTTGCTAGCCAAACTGTGCATCTTTGTTTCCTCTTTGAAGAGTATCCTTTTCCAAATTGTACAAAGGTACCATACCACTTCTGTTCCTTCCCTGTATCCCTTTTTTCACCCCACCTTTTCTCTTTCCATTCCTTCTCTCTTTCCACCTTCCCAGATTCAGTTTCTTCTTTTCTTTGACTAGATGCTGTGTTCTCACTGTTGTTCAAGTATTTTTCTAATAGCATTCTGGTGTGCTTCCCTTCAAAAGGCTTTCTAAAACCTTGGCTTAATTTCTCCTAGTATTTTTTGCCCATTCCCATCAACACTGTCCTGTCCACAAAGATTATTCTTATAGCCCTTACACTATATGCAACATTTTCTCAAGTTGTTGAAAGACTTGTATTTATATATTTAATATGTTGACCTTTTTCAAATATTTTTAAATAAAAATATTTTTCTTGCCCATTAGGCATGGGTCAGTGGTTGAATGTTGACCTATGAACCAGGAGGTCACATTTCAGTCCCAATCAGGGCATATGCCTGGGTTATTGGCTCAATCCCCAATGTGGGGCATGCAGGAGGCAGCCAATCAATGATTCTCTCTCATCATTGATGTTTCTATCTTTCTCCCTCTCCCTTTCTCTCTGAAATCAATAAAAATATGATTAAAACAATTTTTAATATTTTATTGATTTTTCACAGAGAGGAAGGGAGAAAGATAGAGAGATAGAAACATCGATGAGAGAGAAACATTGATCAGCTGCCTCCTGCACACCCCCTACTGGGTATGTGCCAGAAACCAAGGTACATGCCCTTGACAGAATCGAACCTGGGACCTTTCAGTCTGCAGGCTGACGCTCTATCCACTGAGCCAAACCAGTTTCAGCAAAACAAATTTTTTTTTATTTTCTTTACTGAAAGTCTCTGTCAGCTGCATCACTTTTTTACTTACTTGTATGTCTAAGTAAGTAAAAACTTACTATTTCCTTCATTTGGGGAAGGATATATTTATCTTTATTATCTCCTTAAGGCTTAAATTCAGAGTTTACTTTTGCAAAGTTGATGCTATCACTTCCTTAACTGACCATAGGCACATTAAATAGAGTCATTCCTGTCTTGAATCCTGAAAGAAGAGAAAGAAAGGCTGTTAATCAAACCTGGTAAGAGAGCTATCAATGAGAGTGGGGCCATGTGGCAGGAGCTAAGGCCAGGAGTGGTAGAATGTAGTCCCTTGCAGTCCCTTGGGGAGGGGCCAGAGAGAATTAATACCCAGACCCTCATCTCCACAATTCAGATTCTGTGTTGGTGCTGGCTATTGGACAAACTCAGAAATCAGAAGACAAGGGAGCCTGGGATAGCACAGTCTGCAGAAGTCAGTCTTCCAGAACACAAAGCAGGGATGAATTAGACCCAGCCAACATAGGTGTTCCTATTATAAATTAGAATTTGAGCTGTGAAATCTCAAATCCTGCATCTTCACTTACATTTTACATTATTGCATTTTAACTTTTTTTTGTTCTTTCTCTCCAGATTACAATTCCTCGACCTTCTGTGGCATCTACACAGTCGACTTCAGGAAGCTTTCACTGTGGTCAGCTGCCAGAGAAGAAGGACCTTCAGCCTGTGGAGCCCACTGTGGAACTTTATTCTCCAAGGGAGAACTTCTCTGGTTTAGCTGTGACAGAGGGAGAACCTCCTAGTGGAGGAAGCAGAACAGACTTGGGGCTGCAGATGGAGCATATTGGTCCTGACATGTTACTCAGTACTAGAGAGTGTGAAAAATCTCAAGGACCAGAAGACCTTCCTGACCATAACAGACTGGCTGTGAGAGAGTTTGAGAGTCTCCTTAGGGGGACGGAAGAGAAAAGCCTGCTAGGGTCAGATAATGAAGATGAGAAGTTAAGTAAAGGGCAGCATTATATTGAGATCTCCTCTCTCCCAGGAGACTTAGAAAGGGATCACTCAGCGACTACTGAGCCTCTTGAAATGACAAAGACACAGACTTTTAGTGTAATGCCAAATCAAGACAAAAATCATGAGATAATGAAGCTTCTGGCAGTAGGAACTTCAGAAATTTCTCCAGGAGACATTGACCCACATGCTGAAGGACAGATAGGCCCAGTGGCAACAATGCAAAAAAATAAGCTATCTAAGGATGATGACATCAAGAGTGAAGACTTGCCTGGTCTTCAAGGAGACCTCTCTACTTTTTTGCACCAAGAGGGTAAAAAAGAGAAAACTGACCCTAGAAATAGAGAACTATTAAATAGTGTTTCAGAAAGTGAACAGTGTCCCTCATCCCGGAAGGATGTGGTTAGGTCATCCTTCGTAACTAGACACAGCCGAATCCCTGTTTTAGCACAAGAGATAGACTCAGCTTTTGACTCATCCTCTCCACTCTCTGCAAAAGAAAAGCTCCTTCAAAAGAAAGCTTATCAGCCAGACCTACTCAAACTTCTGGTGGAAAAAAGGCAACTCAAGTCTTTTCTTGGGGACCTCTCAAGTGCCTCTGATAAATTGCTGGAGGAGAGACTAGCTACTGTTCCTGCTCCCTTTTCTGAGGAGGAAGTCTTCACTCCCTTTTCAAGACTGGCGATAGACACCCCCCTGAGCAGGGCAGCTGAAGATAGCTTTTTGTCACCTATCATCTCCCAGTCCAGAAAGAGCAAAATTCCAAGGCCAGTGTCATGGGTCAACACAGATCAAGTCAATATCTCCACTTCATCACAGTTCTTGCCTCGGCCACCGCCAGGAAAGCCACCCACAAGGCCCGGAGTAGAAGCCAGGTAATGCTGTATGTTCTCCCTATGTTAAGTGTATAGCGCTGTTTCAGTGTCTGCTTGACTTTAAGTTTTAATCTATTATTTTATTTTGAGAAAACTGCTGCTGAAAGTTATTGTATACTTCAGGAAGCTTATGGTGAACATGCTCCATCTCAAGATACTTGTGAACCCTGGTTTAAATACTTTAAAAGTGATGATCTTTATGTGAAAGACAAAGAGCGTCCAAGCCAACCAAAAACAAACTCAAAAACAACTTGCAGAAAGATTAAACATTGTTCAGCAAACAATTTCTGATCATTTACAAGTAATGGGAAATATATTTTTTTTAATATATATTTTTATCGATTTCAGAGAGGAAGTGAGAGGGATAGATAGAAAGAGAGCAACATCAATGATGAGAGAAAATCATTGACTGACTGCCTCCTGCACGCCCCCCACTGCTGGGGGTCAAGCCGCAACTCTAGCATGTGCCCTTGACCAGAATCGAGCCCTACACCCCTCAGTCTGCAGACCAATGCTCTATCCACTGAGCCAAACCAGCTAGGGCTGGGAAAGATTTTAAGGGAAGGGAAATGGGTCCCACATCTACTGAACAAAACACAAATGGAAAACCAAAAAGTCACCAGTAAAATGTTGCTTCAATGGCATGAAAGAAAGTCTTTTTTGCATAGAATTGTGACTGGCACTGAAAAATGGGTTTTGTTCAGTAGATGTGGCACCCATTTTCCTTCCTTTAAAATTGTTCTCATTGCTTGTAAATGATTGAAAATTGTTTGTTGAGCAATGTTTAATCTTTCTGCAAGTTTTTTTTTTTTGGAGTTTGACACGCATCTTCATCCAATAATGCATGTAATTGTTGATTGTTGGTCTTCAAACTTTTGTGGTTGGCTTGGACGTTCTTCGTCTTTCACATCGAAATCATCACTTTTAAAGCATTCACAGGTATAAACCATTGTAACACAAGTATCTTGAAATGGATAGAGCATATTCACCATAAGCTTCCCAAAGTATTCAGCAGCACTTTTCTTCAAAATAAAGTAATGAATTAAAACTTCCTACAAATGGCCGAGACCGGTTTGGCTCAATGGATAGAGCGTCGGCTTGGGGACTGAAGGGTCCCGGGTTCGATTCCGGTAAAGGACATGTACCTCGGTTGCAGGCATATCCCCAATAGGGGGTGTGCAAGAGGCAGCTGATCGATGACTCTCTCTTCGATGTTTCTAACTCTCCATCTCTCTCCCTTCCTCTCTGTATAAAATCAATAAAATATATTTAAAAAAAAAAAACTTCCTACAAATGCTCTATTTTTGGCATGAAATTCAACATTTTTAAGGGTAAAAATATCTATGATGTTAACACCTTCAGGAAATTTGACATAAGTTTTGAAGCTTGTTGTCAATACAACAAAATAGCATACATATCAAATCGCATATATATCAATATATGTGCAACTCCATTTATTGAAAAAAATCCTCATTATTAACCTGAACACCTAGTGCATTTACATGAAAACTAGACTGTCCGAGATAATATAATTATAGGCCTCTTCCTGTTATAAGGATATCTGAAGCATATTAAAGTAAGATTCTATTTGTATCATTACGCAGCAGAACTTGTTACCCTTACCTCAGAAAGTTTAGTTTTGACTTGCCCTAAGGTTTCAGGTTCAGGGTAACTAAACATTAGATTTAAAGTGCCAATGGGACAAGACTTCCATAGGAAGAATGGTGATGAGTAAACAGCAGTCATTTTATGAGATTTTAAAAAGGTGATTCTATGAACAATATTTACGTATCCCCTTTTTCTTCTGCTTGGCATCTATGCTTCATAGAGATGGCATATCTGTGGCTTGAACTTGTTTGTAATTACAACAAACAAATCTTAATTATCATTCATTATTTAGCATTTTATGGTGTTCCTAAAAGTAGCACTTAGTAACTAAGTCAAGCCTGTGACATTGTGCCAGATAGTAGATAGACCCATCTGGATACTCAGAGGGAGTATCAACTTTCCCACTTAGGTCCTGGCACAAATGAATTATTTTATTCTATTTCAGAATTTTTACTCTAAGATCCTTGAGAATAGACTTAACCCAAATGAGTTTCATGTCATTTTTTCAGAATAAGTAGATGGTGGGGAAAGAGAAGGAAAGAAAATTCATAGAAAAATCAGTAATTTATTGCTGATCCATGATGATGATGATGGATGGCTCTTTATGTACCTGCATTCTGTACGTACTAATACAACCTTGAAGTTCTCCCACTTCCTTCTGTAAAGAGTGGCATGTCAGCAATTTGAGGTTTAAATTCTTAATCTGAGTGGATTTTAAGCTAAAACAGAAAAAAACATTTAGGGCAAAGAAGACATTGCTATTCATGTGAATACTTTCTAGACTTGGAGTTCTGACTTGTCAGTTAAAGAGGGGCAGTCAGTTCCCAAATTCAGCTCTCCCGAATCTCAGGCTTCCATCGGGGCAGAGACTGAGACCCAGAGGAATCAGTGAGGACTCTTTTATTTTGGAAACTATTAAATGAAGCTGAAATAACCTTTTCCTACGGTTGCTGCTATTGGTGAGCACAGTTCATGTTGAAAACTTACATTGTGCGGGAGGCAGAGGGCAGCACCTCCGCATGAGCAGGCTGTTCATCCCCTCCCTTGCCTTGTTGGCCTTTAGGATGAGGCCTTCGAGAACACAGCCTTAGCCCCAGAGGTTGGAGGGAGGTTGACAGGCAGCAGGATGTCAGCTGGAAGATCCAGTCACAGGTTGTGGCTCAGTGACCATGTTTCTCCCCCACCAGGCCTGCCAGCAGTCTGCCATAGGAGTGGGAGAGGGCTGTTTGCTGAACCCTCCAGGCATCTCCAGAGGCCAAAAGGCGAGCACACATGCTCAGACCTCTCCCCTCCCCTCCACCCCCACTCCCGTCTGTCTCTCACCCAGCACCTGGGGAGAATGGTGCTACCTAGGAAGAGTGTACATGGATAAAACACACATGAAGGAGGTGGGACTTCCTACGCTCCTTGTTTCCCGCTGGTAAAATTGCACTATTTATTGCAGTGTACAAAGAATCCTGGGTGGGGTGGGGAAGAGTGTTCAATACACAATGCCAGTGCAAAAAATTTAAAAAATAAAATAAAAAAGAAAGAAAGAAAGAAAGAAAGACAGAAAGAAAGAAAGAAAGAAAACTTATATTGTGGGGTTAATATTTGCATACAGTAGGTCTCGGGTTACTTTGAAGATCCGATCCTACGACGTGATGTAACGTGATTTTCGCCGTAAGTCGGAACCCACCTACATAAAAGCACCTACGTCACTCACATGGAGCACTACACAGCAGTAATGAAGTGAAACAGTAAAGAAAAAAATTTTTTTAAAGATAACAATTCCTGACCTTTACTTGTGGTAAATAGATGATAAAAAACACAAAGCATATATTTTTTTAAATAAATGGGAGATGGCGATGTTACCACGAAACGACATTCAACAAGTCCGATGTAACCTGAGGACTGCCTGTATATGTATGCACAATTCCTTTCCTAGAAGCCTTAAACAAAATGTTAAGGCATTTTATGCTAGAGATGTTTTATTTAATCCTAAAACCAGAAGAGCAAACATGCCTAGGAGGAAGGGAACTAACAACATCCAAGTGCTTCTGAATGGCAGACCTCCAACTAAGCACTTCACTTGGGTATTGCCCTTAGCTGCTCAGTAACGTGGTGAGATTGATAATATTCCCATTAAAAGCTAGGAGAGATTAAATAATTGTCCAGGGTCATAGAACTGGTATGTAAAAGAGTAGTTGTATCCTGTGTTTCCTGAATTTTGACTCAGATCATACAAATTAGGATTGGGACTTTATAGGCACACTTGAAATGAATTAAAATGAAAATAATTTTTCTCTGTTCTTTTAAGGCTCCGCAGATACAGAGTCCTAGGGAGTAGCAATTCTGACTCAGACCTTTTCTCCCGCCTGGCCCAAATTCTTCAAAATGGATCTCAGAAACCCCGGAGCACTACTCAGTGCAAGAGTCCAGGATCCCCCCACAACCCAAAAACACCACCCAAGAGTCCAGTCGTCCCTCGCAGGAGCCCCAGTGCCTCTCCTCGAAGTTCTTCTTTGCCTCGCACATCCAGTTCCTCGCCATCTAGGGCTAGTCGGCCCCACCATGACCAGAGGAGTTCATCCCCGCATCTGGGGAGAAGCAAGTCACCTCCCAGCCACTCCGGATCCTCCTCCTCCCGGAGGTCCTGCCAACAGGAGCATTGCAAACCCAGCAAGAACGGCCTGAAGGGATCCGGCAGCCTCTACCACCACTCGGCCAGCACTAAGGCCCCCCCGGGGAAGAGTAAGTCAGCCAGTAAGCTCAGCAGATAGGAGCCAGGCCGCTCCGTGAAAGGTGTGAGACTTCCCCCAAACCTGATGCATGTGTATCCCTGTACTGTCTATTTTAAAAGTCTGTGTTGATTTTCTCTTGCAAAAAAAAGTAACATGATAAATTATTTATAAGGAGACATAAATATATGATAAGGAATTACCTAAGGCAGGCAGCAAGCGGATCAGGAATCAATGCCTTTGCATAGGAAGGGCAGTCTAGCAAATCCAAGAGGGAGAAACTGATTAAATGAACTTCCTTTTCTTTCTTTCTTTTTTCTTTACTTCTAAAACAAAAGAGTCAAAGATAGAAGATGGAATGGAATTTTAAAGGGTTTGGCCTTTTTATTCTTCACGACTATCCTCAAACATTATATAGCAAAATTGAAACCACCTGCTTTAATATTTTCATTCAAAACTTCTCAACTTTGGAATTCGGAACTGCTCCAATATTAAAGTATGTAAGAAGTCTGTTAGTGGGGAGCCAGTGCTGATACACATATTCTTAGCTTGTGAATCTATCTATATGGAGAGTTCACACCTTTACTTTGCCTCATTCCTAGTACCCTCCTTGGATTTCATATATTTTTAAAATTAGCATTTATCATCTGATCCAATCTCTCTTATTTTACCAATACATTTTAATATGCTTATAGCAGCATATGCTAATGTTTTCCTTTGTAGCACTATGGTCTCAGTATACTTTTATTGTGAGAAATAACTGATGACACTTAGGTAATGGAAGGGAAATTCTAAATAGAACTAGTTTGCAGGCGTTAGTGCTTTAGGGAGAGACGGGCAGCGTGGGGTCAATGCCTTTGAGGTAGATGAACTCTCCTTCCCCGTTAGTTTCTTCCCAGTGGAAGGAACACTGACCAGAGAACACCTTGATTCCTTAATTCTTCTAGGTTCCAGCTATTTCTAATGCCAACCTCCAAGATGATACCAAGGGAGTACAGTCCTGTGAAATGTGGCTTTATACTTTTAGAGATTTAAAAAGAAAAGTAGAAAGAAGTTAGATATGTTGTTGAGACTTATTATCCTTATACATGAAGCCAGTTAGGAATGAGTATCTGGGAAAATAAATTTAGGTTCAGTATTTGTCTTTTAAAGTTTTTTACCAGCTTCTCCTGTGCTTTAGTTTGAGTATTTAGATTTCTTGACCTGATTTCTAGGTAATTTCAATTTACAGAGCTATAAAGAGGATCATATTTGTTCTAATCACACTCTTCTGCTAACAGGAATCAGGCAAAATTAAATCATAGTAGACTTTGAAAATGGTTTTTTTTTTATACTTTGGTGGTTTTTGTTTTTTGTTTTTTATGTTGTAAAGACCTTATTAAGGTCAGGTAAATTGGTCTGCTTGCTGTTGAAATTTGCCTTCTAGCAAAATCTGTGCTTTCTTTTTGAACTTGTGTTTGCTGCCAAACCTAATGTGGTTGAATTTGGGGGGGAAAGAAATATATTTTCTCACCGAGTGAACATATTCTAATGCTGCATCAAAGTTGCCCTGAAGCTGCACTGAACATATCTTGTTCTCTTTATCTGTGTTGAGCTTTCTAAAAAAACAAACAACAAAAAAAATATACACAAAAAAAACCCCAAACCTCAAAACACTATTGAGGCATATTTTGTCTCCCATAAGAGTTGTAGCCTAGTATGGAAACACAATTTCTCTCTGCTTTCAAGCACGACAGGGGAATGCAATAGATAAGACATATTTGTTGTTTACCTAAAGCAACTGTAACATTGGAAGACCCATCTTTCTGTATTATATTGTATAATAGTTGCTATAACACTACTTGCATGTCTTCATGGTAAATTATATAAATATTTATAAAAATATAGAGAAACATATGCTTATATAAACTCATTCTTTCTCATTCTCCATTTGTAATTTCAAGATCACGGGTGGAGAAATACCTTTTTACTGTGTGCCTCACGTACACTTGGGCCTTGCCTGTCTTCATTTTCTGAAAATATGTCCTTGGCATGTAACACTTAAGATTCTTCTTGCCATTCTTGCGTATAATTGCAAGGGTTGGCAGTCTTTAACGGGCCAAGATAGGTTATTTGATTTTCATTTTAAAAATATTTTAATAGGGGGAAAATTACTGGGACATGCTTGTAATACTGGTTCAAAGATTTGTCTTGTTAATTACATAATGCTGTTCTTATGGTTAGAGTGGATAAACTGGGATGATAATCACGGGTCTAACGAATTGATTTTTTTAAAATATCCTTTAAAATTACCATTCTGCTTTCCTCTTTTAACTTCACTTTTTGAGGGTAGAGGAGTAAGCTACAATTAAGAAATTCTCTTTTTTTCTGCTGTACTTGCAAAATTGTGCGAAAAGTAGCCAGCTTTAAATCCTGACCCCTTTGTCAGAAATGTGCTTGTAGTGACCATTGCAAAGCTGAGAGAGAGGCTGCAGTGTATGTGTGTGTTCTTTTATATTTGATCAGCTTTTCTCTGCTAGCAGTCAAAACCAGCAATGATGGCAACTTAATGTTTTTCCTCTTATTTAGTTCTTTCCATTTTTTCTCACAACTTTTCCACTGTATTTTGCTCCCTTTTCTAAATGGTACCCACAAACTCAAGGTCCAGAAACAGCCTTGCTGTGCAAGACTACTTTATTTTGCATGTAGAGAAAGTGTTAACCAGAGACTTTTCTGCTTGATACTTTCAAAAGAAAACAAACTAATACTATATTATGTATTAGTAGGTCCACTTGAAAGTACTATCTATACAGGGTGGGGCAAAAGTAGGGTTTTAGTTCTTTGTGTGGAAAACAATACAGTAATTAATAAATAATAATTCAAGAATGAACTGTTTTGCATACTCACAGCTGTAAACCTACTTTTGTCCCACCCTGCATAGAGATTTTACGATTTTTAAGTACAATTTGTGTTTTTAGATATATCTGCCTCGGGCTAAAAAGAGAAGTACATAGCCCTGAATAAAGCACTTTTGGCACAAGGATTTTTGTTTTATTGTAAAGTATGGAACAGAGAATGAGTTGTATTGTTATTTTCACTTTATTTATTTATTTTTTTAGTGATGGCTTATTTCAAAATTCAGTGACAAACATAGGTCATCCAAGTAATTTTAAACCAGTTTGGTTATTCTACCTAAGATGAGGGACATACATGGCCATTAGTTAAAGTCAAGCCAAACTACACTGAAAGTATTATGGAGCAGAAGTAAATTATCTTTTGAAAATCAATTGCCTGTCATTTCTCCGATCACAACAAAGTGGCTGGTTACTTTACTCTTACCTTCTCTGTCTAATCTCTGGAACTACTTGGGTGGAATAGAAGATGGAATTAGCAACATTTTAGTCCCTTCAGGTAGCATTCTTTCTAAATTATACTGCCAAATCTCCAGGGTGTACAAATGGATTAAATGACTTTAAAATTCCACAAAGTAATCTTTTTTTTTTTTTTCCCCCTGTCCTGGGGCACTATATTAGAGAAAAAAGTTAAAACTCAGATTCCAAATAAAGATCACATATTGTTTAGAGACAATCTACATAAGAGTTACAAAAAATAGTTGCCCAGGCATAAGCATACATGGGTTTGTTAATTATATACACATGGTTACAAATGTGCTTGCGAAATAGTTCATTGGAAATATACACAGGCTCTGGAAATGTACACCGTGTAGTGTTACAATTATATATTCAAACAAGAAATTTGGCAGTATGTTTCACTCACAAGTAGACAGAATGCAAAATAAAGTTCATCCTCTGTACAAAAAGGAAGGGCCGTTCACACTTTACAAGGTGAGAGGGCGCTGATTGTAAGCAAAGCTGGGGCAGGGCTGAACTTTGCACGTTTTTTGACTGTCACAAAATAAGCAAAATATTGACATAGTGATCTTTTGCATGGCTTAAAGCCATTGAACTTTAACATATAGTGAACAAAAAAGGAAAATTGGGTCATACCAAGTTTAACTTTATGGCACAGATTGTAAACATCTTTGAATGTTTAAGTCTTAGGCAGGCACCATCATTCTCAACTTGGTACGCAAGCTGGCCTTGCTGACAGTGGCATAGCTACATTTACTGTTTTTTAGGTTGCATGTTGTGAAGTAAATGTTTTTTATAAAAGTTGCCAAGTTAATCAAGTCCTAAATAAGTAGAAAAATGATAACTGAGACCCACTGTTATTATCTACTTTATATTATTTGCTTTAAAATACTAAACAAATTTCAGCTGCTTACTAATACAGTGAACTAGATGTGCAGTATCTTTCTGTTTAGCTCCTCCTAACACTGTGGAACTTGAGGTTCTTGAGTAATCATGAGATCCCTTCTAAGCCACAGATTTTTATGCAAAGGTTTCTATAGTTGTTTTCAATCTACAAGGAAAAGGTATACATTAGGGCATGTTTTATAAACCCAGACACAGGTGTAGGTAAGACAATTTTCTGTACCTTTGAATAAAAATCAGATGCCTTTTCCCCAAAAGCAGAGGATTCTTTATTCTAGGAACTATATTCTTAATCTAACATAAGGAACTGGTGATAGGAGAAACAAGATCCAGAATTTAGAATTTAGGGGGGAAATACATTGTACTCTGGCTATTTGAAAATATATTTACTTATAGATAAGTCTAGATTTAGTCTTGGAGATCAGAGTTTTGACATTTAAAAATGTTTTTCATTCCTTTATATCAATCAAACATGGCATACATTAGGGAAACAGTTCTCCTGTCAGGTTGTTTACATTCATTCTCTTAATATCTGCCCATTTCTGCTTATGTGTATTGACCACAGATGTGTTGGGGGCTTTGCCTAAAAAGAGATTTTAGTACCGATATTACTGTGGCAACAAAGTGATTTGACAATGCCATTGTTTAACTTTCTTGAATTTGGTTCTGTAGACAGTTTATTTGCAGTTACTTATCTATGTTTTAATACAAACGTATTATAGGAGTAAGGAATGGAACCACTATGGTTGTCCACTTAAATCAATATTCACCAAGTTCAGAAACCATAGG